GGGGAGGGGAGGGGAGGGGAGGGAAGGGGAGGGAAGGGAAGGGGAGGGACCAAAGCATTGTATCTCTCCTACCACTTCTGGCAGAGATAAAATGGTACCACTCCTGTTGGAAGGATCACTTTTTTGGTTGGGTGTTTTTGACTCACCAGATACACCTTCTAGTTTAACTGGGCTGTTGAAACTTCACTGAAATCTGGGAGACTGCGGTAGAAAGAGACTCAAGGGAAATACAGAAATCCTAACAACATCCAGCATGTCTTTTTTCCTCATCTCTCATATTCTGTACACATGCAATGGAAAGGCAGGAGATCCTCCAGTGAGTGACACAAGGTGGCTGGAATTGGGATCCTGCGCTGAACTGCCCTCTAGAGGAGTCTCACTCTCCCACTCAGGCAGACAAGGAGGTCAACTCCACCAGGGCAAGCTACAACTTGTCCTCCTGGACACTCCCATTTCACTGAATATGATTCAGAAAACAGACCAGGAGTACAGTCTTATTTGGATCTAAGAAAAATGAATGAAGGGAAAGTACTGCAAACCAGAGTCAAGGCCTCATATGAATGAAACACAAAATACAGAAGTGTTCTCCAACTAGAAAGGAAATGGGCAATAGGCAAAATTGCTGCTTCATTGCTTCCTGTGGAAGGTCTGTCAGCACAATAACCAAATCAAAGCAAAATAAGATTAAGGACAGGTTTTTTATGGGAATCCTCTCAATTCACAGATCACTGGTGTTCAGCCATAGAGCAGAAAGACTCCTGACAAGTATTTTGAAGTGCCACAGAAATCCAGAATGGAAGGAATTTGGGATCACTCAAAGTGTTGTATCAACAGCTGGTGGCAGTGCTTGGCAAAGCAGGAAGCAATGCTGTGCTGTTGTTACCTCTCCTGTGTCTGTCACCAAACCCAGAAGTCTCCTCCTCATGATGGGATTCCAGACAACAACAGTTCATTTCCATTTCCCAGCTTTCCTGTCTCTTGTTCTAACCAGGTTTCACCAGGGACTGTAACACCCAGCTACCTGCCAGCAGTGCATTAGGCAGGGCAGGAAATATCCATTATGGGCTGTGCTCCCTCCTAGGGGATTGCAGATTACAGCAAGCAGCCATCAGCCACGTGCCAAACAATAAGGAGATACGTGCTGGCTACATAAACTGCTCAACAGTCAGTGGGGATGAACACAGCCCTCTGAAATAACCACACACAGCCCCAGAGTGCAGCTCAAACACTGCTTAATTACAAGCAAGGTGAGAAAAAGTAGGAGAAAGGATTTTTAAAATGTAGCTAGCAGACAAAAGAAACCTCTCAGATGCATGGAAGGTAGAAAACCAGCAGGAAAAGTGTGCTAGGAAAGAATGAAATAAATCCTGAAGCAAATGGTTAAAGCATTTGCTTAGTTCAATACAGCCTGAAGTCTTATAAAAGCATTACAAAACAGTGAGAAACAAATTAAAAGTACGGCAAAATTATTTAATCCAGAGGCTTCAATCAGAAAGCAGCAAAGTCACTGAAAAAGAGACCTAATTAAAATGAAACATGACCAAGAGAGGAGACAGGTAACTGTCTGGTTTGGGGAATGACGTGGGGAAAATGTAGGAAGATTTCCTTTTCAGAAGTTGTAAAGTATGAATGCTTTAGAGTATTTTAGTAGCAAATCCAACTACAGACTGCTGTCACACAAGGTAACATATCTAAACAATACCTGAGAAGTCCTCTTAAGTGACTACAAAATTTTCATCAAGACATTTGTAGCTTCCTCATTAGAAAATTTAAATATACCACTGTAATTCAGATTAGAAGAAGAGGTTTCAGTAATGAGAATAGTTTGAAAGGTTTCACCTTAATTTGTAAATACTTCAGAAGTAACTACAGCCAAATTATTTTTAAGAAGCTTTAAGACTAACATTTTCCTTTTTGAATCTTCTATTTATAGATCAAAGCAGATTCTTACACATTGAATCTTTATAAGTACTCAATACATTTCCAGTTACAGCCTAGTTATAAATGAGTGGGATCTCTTCAGAATGAGATGTTATTGCTCAAATAACTACATTTTTCAGCATAGGATTTTATGAAACGAAGGGTTTTATGAAACGGCTAAGAGGCTTCTCCCTTCATGGACCACAGATGCAGTCAAAGTGGAAGGAGCAAACATACCTTAAATATAATAAGGTTAGTTTTATGAATTAAATATTTAAAAATTTAATTTAATTAATTATATATAATATAATCAGCATATGCCATGTGATTTAGTGGCAAACTGAAAAGCAGTTCTGTCATAACTTTGATGCAATCTTTTCTTTTCAGGAATTTCTCACTTCATGACAGGTAAGTTCAGTAAATGACAGCATATGCATTCTTAAATGATTGTTCAAAGAGAAAAAAATTATTCCAAAAACTGTCTCTGTTTGATTTGGGTTTATTTTTAATCCTCCTTTCATCAGAGTAAGTTCTGAATCACAGAACTAGTAGTGACTAAAATGTCATTAAGAAGTGACAAGTCACCTAGGCAATCCTGACAAACAACATTGCTTAAGTGCTTGCCACCACAAAATGAGAAACAGTTTTACCCCCTAGATTTATGGGAAGCACAATCTACCAAACCTCTTTTATTCTGCCTTCTATTAATTCATTTAACCTCTTTTATCCATAAACCTGCCCTAAAAGAAACACCTGACTCCGAGCAGTCCCTTGACTTCTCATAAATAAATAAATAAATAACCAGAAGTAGCACAGGCCACATCTCTGCACCAGCATTGAGTGACAACAACAGGAGCCTCGGTGTAATAGGGCAAAACTATTTAGCACAGGAGATTGCCCAAGACACCACCCAGTTTATGCCAGTAAACACCACCTCACCCCTGCTTACTTCCACTTGTGTGCCAAAAAAATAGCAAGCATGGGCTGAAATTCTCACAATGGCTCAACAACATTAAAATATAACCATAGCCCTCAAGACAGTGACTGAAACCACTTACTTGCTTCCTAAACACCAGTCAGTCCTGGAATAGCTCGAATTAAAACAGTAATCTACATACAAACAGCTTTGTTTCTATCAGCATCTCTCATCTTTCAATTGAAATTTATTCATTTTTCACTGAATAAACCAAGAGATTCATTACACCGAACATCAGGCTCGCACTCTGCACCCCTGCAGAAACACCTGAAGAACTAATTGCGAATGCAGCTGCACATGTAAATGGCTAGAGATGAATATGCAAGTATTACCTTGAGTTGGAGGAGGAGGAGGATGCTCCTGTGGCTTCTCCTGTGCTAAAAGGCCCAGGTAGCTGAGCACTACGTATTTGGTTTCATAGTGAAATCCTACAGGCACGGCAGTAGCGGACGCCATCGGGTTGGCTGTGTTGGCGTGGGGCACGTCGGCTGCGCTCTGGGAAGCCCGGGAAGGCTGTCAGGGAAGAGTAAAGTGTTTTGTTTGTTGGTTTATAAGGCTGCAACAGGTCATGAACTCACACATAACAGGGAATTATGTAACTATCCTGAAGCAATATCCAGCTTTTTGCCCTGATATCCTATGCATTCTTATTTTAATGAGAACCATGCAGAGTAAACCGAAGTGTGCCCCAGTGCAGCGCCCTGCCTGCTGCCAGCAGTGGCATTTCTCACTCCTGTATGGCATGCTCACACTCCCATGGAAGCCAGTCCCTCACCACGTGTCCTCCTCCCAACACCTCCCATCTCAACCACACGCAAAAACACACGTGTTCATGTTTTGAGGGATTCTGAACACTTCCTTAACCACAACATGTGGTAAAAAGCCGGATTCCGAGGAGTCTCTCATTCCCAAAGCCTGCCATTAATGTTTTCTCTGCTTTCTCAGATTCGCTACTGTGATGCTCAAAAGTTGTAAATCAGAAAAAAGTGACCACAATTTCCTTAAATTAGTTTTATTGTTCCAACAGCAATGGAAAACATATGGTCAACAGAGTAAATTCCACACTCAATGTAGGGATTGGGTGAACAGATGGTTGTTTGTCCTGGATTTCTCACCCACACACTATTAAGTATAAACCAGAAATCCACACCTAACAGCAACATCTGGCCAAACTCCTCCTTGTTTCACTCTAATTGTTTTGTTGCTTTTTTTAAATATCCAAATAAGTCCTGCAGGCAAAACTAAGGCAGAGAGAAATTAAAAACAACATGGTAAAAAGTAAAATCTCAAGAAACAACATGGAAGTGTTGGGAAGTGGAGGAAAAGCCATGCAGCAGATTAAAAGGATGCTTGAGATTAATCAACATGTTTTAGCTATTTTTGTTTGGCAAAGTCTGGATAACTACTTGCAACATGCTGTCAACTTAATGGATCAAATAATACTATCCAGGAGTTTCTGACAAACTCTTCAATGTAAGTTCTCCAGGACTTCTAAGAGTCAGTCCCAAATAAGAGTAGCCCATTCTTGGCCACCAGAATGGATGTCTAAATGAAAGGCACACAAGAAACTTTGTGCTACAGAACAGCTACTGAACAGGCACTGAAAGAGCCAGATAACTTAGTAATGTGAGACTGCAGTTACATTTAGAAGAAAAAAATTTATCAAGTTCAAAGTTTAAAGCAGTTAGAATGAGTAAAATGCTATATACAGGGAAGAGAAATTGGACCATCTCATAAGAGTTACGGATTGCACTGGAAATGCCTTGGGTCTAAAAGAAAGAATCAGCTTCCAAAACCAAAGAACAATCTGCAAACAAAGCCTCAAGATTAAAAATAATAATAATAAAACAAGAAAGCAAAAGAAAAGCACTTGCCTGTGTAGCTATTCAAGATGTCTGGGCTAACTTCTAATCCCTCCTCCCTGAGAAGGAATTCAGATTAACAGCAGTTGTACACTGCATTATATATACAGTTTATCTGTTACTGCAGATAAACTAGAACTGTGCTGTGGCATGGTTGCTGTGGGAGTAGGTAGCTTGGCAAAGAAAAATTTACCACCAAACTAAAAGCTGCAAAAGGAAAAGAACTGGTATAAAATTGGCTGACTATTCTCTTTAGAAACTCTAGTTTCTGAAACTCATTCAGTACTGAAAACAAAAAAGTGCAGTCCCATGAAGACCATACTGTGGTAGCCCTGCCTCTTGCTCCACGTATTTGAAAATGCCTGAAAGCCTTTACCAGAAAGGTTCAGTTGTGTCTTTGCTACAGCCTGAACCAAAGTAGTGAATTATATACAAGGGAAACAATGAACTTGGAGTCAACACTTCATCTGTGCTGCCTCCTCCAGCCCAAAGTGCTCCACGGGCAACACATCCTGCTTCAGAAACCTAAGAAATTACAGAGAAGAACCACAGCTTTTGCACAATACAATTACCCTCAAGCCTCTTCCATAGCTAAGATTTTCACAGAGCAAGAAGATCTGGAAAAAAATAACTGCTCTGAAGACTTTAGGATCCTTTAACAATAGATCTGCTCTTCAGACCAGACCCCCACACACAGTCACCACATCACATGTCACATCACCAGGTGTGAAAGGTGCCATTCACCAAAAAGCAAAAGCTCCCCAGCATGTTTCAGTTCTGGTTTGTTCAGTAGAGATCCACAGCCTGAAATCAAAATGCTTCTCACAATGCCTACACAGTGAATGGGAGCCCTTCCAGACAACCTGAACTGATCTCTCCTGAAAAAATCAGCCTGACAGATGGTCCAGAGACATCCAGAAACTGTGCTGCGGACCAGAGAACAAGTCTGGATACAGAAGAGAGATTATTGTTCAAAATATAATTCCAAATCAATGCAGAAAATCAAATTCTAAAAGTTAATCCAAACAAGCATGATATCAAAAGCAGCACAGTGCAACAGGGAGGCCTAATTCACAAAAATTACAGCGTGCTTGGCTCAGCACTTCTGAGGGGAGGAGGGGAAGAAAAAAGCAGAAAGAGAGAGAATCAGACCACTGCTTATTTAAATAGTGGCTAATGTTTCCCTGGGGAAAGAATGATTTAAAAAAAAAAATACCTTGGTGGATATATTTTGAGAGGCAGTTTTATACTGAAATGAGAAGGGAGAATTAAGAACTTCTATAGAAGAAATCTTCAAATTCTTCAAATAAAAGAATGTCATGAGTCCAAGTGCATTTCAGAATCACTGGTCTTCCTTTGAGATAAGCCCACAGCACAGTAACAGAATGACCCGTTTTGGATTGGGAATGACTGGTTTTGTTTACAAAGAGAAACACAGAAATATTGACTCAGATACTGTAAATATCTCAGAAAAGGCCATTTTTCAGGAATGAGCGGGATTGAAAAAGAACACACAGCTTGAGGGACCAGATCAGAGGAAAGAGAGCTCTCTGCTAAAGGAACAAAATGGAAGAGAGTCCAGAAAGTGTTTAAGAGGATAAGCTTGTACAGGAGATGCAATGGAGCAGAGGAAATAAGGCGTTACACAGACTCCCTAAGTCTCAAAGCCAGGGCAAGAGGGTTGCTTCTGGTTTAACAGGTTCCCTGCAGAAATACTGTCCTTAAAAAGCTACAGAAATCAACATTACCAATTACTCCCTACAAAACCATTTACCTTTCCCAGTTCCTGCACCCTTGGGGGATAGAAGGCTATACCTGTTGAAGCTTACTTAGCTTGTCACTCCTCCGGCCCTGCTGTCACTTGTTTCATGTGGGCTGAGCTGCTCAAGCGACCTGAGAGCAGGAGTTGCAGTAGGACTGACATTTCCCCATGCAATCTGTCACGTCCTAATCCACGGCAGAGTTATAAATTGGATAACAGGCAGCACAAGCCTACCAATGAATACAGCGAATATAATCCCCAGCGACGAGGCCAGGCTGTGTTTCAGTCCCTGTCTGTAAAACCCTACTGTGCATCAAGATGTGTTTACTGTGCCTCATTCAAACCCCAAAATGCAACATCACTGCTCTACTGCCCAGAGCAGTTCAGCTGGTTTTTATAAACCAAACAGGCGATGAATGGATTTCAGAAACACCAGCACTGAAACAGCAGCACCACAGCCCTCAGCTTCCACTCCAAAATAGTTATTGCAGAGCTGGATGCATTCCCCACCTAGAGCCCAGGCCTCACTTACCAGCACAAACCCAATCACCCCGTGAGCTGCTGTGGCAGAACTGCTCCTGCTGCTGCCGAATTCTTGCAGAGCACACACGGCTCAGCCAGCGAGCACCAAGCCGAGCACAGGCAGGCACAGAGGCAGCACCACGGTAGCGCTGCAGCTCAAATCATTTTTAGGGCCGCCTGACATCGATATGCTCACGGCTTGGGTCGTCTTCCTGACATCAGTCTCTGAAACAGGCAGCCACTCTGAACTACAGCCTCGGATTTACATGGTGCTCTTTACCAAAACGTACCGAATTTCAAGGAGTTGCAGGTCTACAAAACCACACCCCGCATCAACAAGATGGAAAATGTTCAGGCATTCTGCAGCCTAACCAGAAGGCTTGTGTGGGGATTTTGGGTGAGACTTGCATGTGTGGGCTAGTTTAACCTTGCAGCAGTTTGTCTCTGAAAGCACTTCCCATAACACGCAGGACTATCCAAAGCACCCAGTTGTGATCAACTTGGGAGATAAATTCTCCAGAGTACTTTTCCAACTGTGTATCAGGGTATGACTAAGAAATTGTTTATAATAAACTGAGGACTATCAGTTCAAACATGTCAGTTCCTACTGGAAATGAATCAATACTGCAGCCACTACTGATCCTCTGGTCGTACTTAATGGATAGAAATACTGGAAAACATAATTGTTCTTTATCTGGACAGTGGTTGTAGCTGACCTTTGACAGAAATGCAATTAAGTGAGCATTCTAGGCAAACGGTGTGATTTCTTTTCTAGGAAGAAAAACAAAAGCTATGTACATTATCCGCTACAAAGGTCTTCAATCCTTTGCAGCTTCAAACCATCCCAGCACAACATTAAATGATGACAAGCACAGCTTTTATTAACAAACTCCCATCTATTTTCCGTTTTAACGTGCCTATTTGGGTTTGAGAATCCGAAAAAAGCCGTTCCAAGTTTCAGCGGCGCCGGAGCCGCCGGCGGGAGCGCAGCGTGAGCCCCTCAGTTACTACGGCGATGAATGAGATATTTATACCCGGGCGGGCGGGCACGGCGTCGGGATGAGTCACCGGCGGGGCCGTGCGGGACTCGCAGCCTGCGCGCTGCCGGCTCTCCGCCGCCGACGGGGGCCTGGCACGGCCCATTCCCCACCGCTGCCCGCCGGCTCCGGGGGTGTCCCAGGGGTGTTCCGGGGGTGTCCCGGGCGGAGCGGGCTCCGCCCGTCCTTCGGCCGCGGCGGGGGCGGGAGCGGCACCGGCCGCCAGGGGGCGCGCTTGTCCCCGCCGCGCCCCCGCCGGAACGCGCGCGCCCGACTCGCGCCCCCAACCCCCCCCCCCCC